CAGCAGCCGTCAGCTCATCCACTCCGGAACCTGCAAAGACTTAAAGGCACAGACAACAACAGCCACCAAAACAGATTATGGACAGGGCCATAACACTTGCATATGACTTCAAGGTTTTACTCCTGCTGGTTAAAGTAAAACTAATAATGAATGTTTATAGGATACTTTTGTGACAGACAGACACACCTGACAATGTGCAACAATTCTCCTATAAAATACAGTAAACACCTTTAAAAATGTGATGTTACTGAGTGAAGATCCAAAACATTTATGCAAAGACATTTTTTCCATTAGACTGTGACTATTGTAATGAAGTCTTTAATGAAGTCCCATTTTAAAGCACCATATATGCTGCGTAATAAAAGCCCACTACCTATGTGTTACTAAAAAAAGACAACTTATAACGCTTGCACAATTTCTTACAAATATTCAGACTTGTGACCAGAAACATCCTAATCTTGATCTAATGATAAACAAATAAAACTCTACAAAATAGCATTTAATGTCTAAATATGAAGTATCAAATGTCTTCAAATGTGTTGGTAAGGCTGTAGGATAGACTGGTTTGTAACCTGTAACTGAGCCAGCAAATGATGATATTGCCAACAACAGCGCTGTCAGGGAAGTCTTCTTATTGATTTATTGTTTGTTTGTTTGTTTTTTGTATTGCTTGAGTTCATCTTTAACTGTTGTGAATTTTATTGCATGCTTTTATTGCAAATTTGTTGATTTTTTAGTGCTCACACCTGTGTGAGCTCATGGCCTTGAAGGACACTGGCATCAACCAATCAGGACAGACCTCTATCAGCCAGAGGACTAAAAAGGGTTTAGTGGGCGGGATGAGAGACACTGGGAGACACCGGAGAGTGAGTGGAGAGGCAGAGTAGGATTTGAATGTGTCCCAGCCTTTGTAATGCTACAGACAGAAGTGTGAAACAACTGGTAGTTCCAGAAAATCAGCTGCAATCGGAGTATAGACCTCTGCTGGATGTCTGTGAGTACTCTCCACTAAAGAAATTAATTCAAGATTTGGTGCTTGACTGTCAGTCATTTTTCAAGGTCAGGGTGGAGCAGGGTGAAATATAAAGTGCACTGAAAAAGTGTCAGTGGGCATGTTTCATCCAAGCTGAATCAGGGCATGTTTCAACATTTCCAAGTTTCTAGTTTAGCTCTTCAGGTGGGCAAAACAGAAAAATGTAGAAGTGGACAGATATTTCAACATCAGAGTGTTTTCAGTTAAGTTAATTTGTTACTGCCCAGTGGGGTGAACAGTTCTGTGAGACCAGATTATTCACATTGTTTGGTGACTTTTCATTCCTTCAATTTCAAGATACCCAGATTTTCCAACTATGATTGCTGGTGCCTCCTGTTTACTTTAGGCAAAAACTGCACTGAAGAAGCACTGAGGTATTTAAAATCATGTTAGAACAGAGATACAAAGATATGCTATCACTGGGCTGGGCTTAAAGTGGCTAAATTATCTAAGTGTTACTCTGGTTATAGATCATTGTGCAACAAATCTGAACAAGCTTTTGGGAACTAGACTGACACTAAGGAATTCATTGTAAAATAACTTGTCTCACTTGCCAGGCTGTTGTTCTTATTGGTTCCCAGCAGTTGCTAATATGAGTTCAATCTCCTTGCTTCAAGTATGTACCCAGTCTTTTCAACATTAAAATTTTTTAACTTGCTGAATTCCAGGAGGTAGAAAAGAAATTGTTCATTTAAATCTTGCCAGATTCAAATTTACTGGCCTGTGTCAATGTCAATTTTAATATTATTTGGATGGCACATTTCAATAGTAAAACCAATAAAATGAAGACAATGAATTAAAACTCAAAACAAAGTAAAACTAAGGCATCACAACATAAAATAACCCCTGTTAAATGACTTGCAGCAACATTTTGAATTTTGAATGCAATGGAGAGATGAGTGTTCAAGAGCCAAATACAGAGAACTGTAGTATCCAGTCCAGACTTGGTGTATGTCCTTCGTATGTAAAATGTCACAGAGCTGTTTTTTGACCACATTTGATCCTGCAGTGCTTTCTTTCAGTTGGTAGAAGAACAAGAAGACACAAAAATGGAGAACAGAAGAAAAGTGCTTGTTGTTGCAATAATTTTCACAGTTGCCTGCAACAAAGTAAGAATTAAGTTTTGTACAAACAAATATTAGAAGGTTAAAACATTCTTCACTTAAAAATGTGTTTTTAAATGTGATAAATCTCAATTAAAGGTGACCGCACAGGAAACAAGGCTACTGGATTTTCTAAATAACACAAATGTTGTAGATGACCAGTACAAAGGATGTGGTGAAGAGGCCATGAAGAGGTTCATCGAGTCAGACGTGTTAAAACGAGAGCTAAATAACAGTGAAGGATTTCAGAAAGCGTGGAATAAAAGTATCGAGTGTTCAAAACAGATTCCAGGAGGAAGAAAAGAGCATACTGCTGCACTTTCAGTCTATGTTAATGGGGATCACAATTTATTACAAAGACTGAACAAAGCAATAGAGACAATGGGTGGAAATGTTAGCATCTATGAAAACCGCTTCCACTTCAAGTCTCTTCATTTCCTGCTGATGGACTCCATGAGGCTGCTGAAGCCAAAGGAGTGCAAGAACGTTTATGTTCTGCTAAGTGGTCAAAACCAACCACAGAAAGGCTCCACAGTGAGATTTCCAAGTTTCACCTCAGCTTATTCAGATTATGAAAAGCTAAAAAGTGAAACTGATCTGTATGAGGAGGTCGTTTTAAATCTCACTTCTTGTTTCTTTGTCAACCTGAAAGACTATGTGTGCGGTCAAGGACAGGATGAAATACTCTTATCTCCAGCAGAAGTTTTCACTGTGGAGGACATAAATAGCAAAGTTGTGGAGGCAGATGATGATTCTCAATATGTAGAAATTGTTTTGAAACATTCGGGGCTTAAAAGCTCTCACAACTGCTACATCTTTTCACGGTAAGAGTCACAGTCTCTCAATTAAAGTGGAAAAAGTTTGACAATTTCCATGTTAGTTTTACAAATGTTTAGTATCGAAATGCAAAGTCAAACTTCAAAATATTTTTAAAGATATAAATATTTAAAAAAAATTTAATTTTAGATGTAAGTGCATATAATAAAATGTTTGTCGCATCTGTTATAACTTGTGCTTGTAATATTCATACATACACACAGAAAATGTGTGCATGTATGAATATTACAATAATTCCCCTCTCTGCTTTGTTTCCATGTCCTTAGGTCTCCTCCAGCTGTTGTCTCCACCCTGTGGCTTGTATCAGTGCTTTTGGCCTTATCTTTGTTTTGTTTTTTAGGTGTTTAGCAAAAACAGTTATCATTCAGAGTTTTCTGGGTTTTATCATCTATAATGTTGCTGCAATTATTCATACAATGTCAAAATGATTCACATACTTATCTGAAAGATCTTTTACTGTTTGTATGAATCAAGTGATCCAAATCAACAGTTTTGTTTTGTGGGGTGCCTCAGGGATCTGTCCTGGGTCCAATTCTCTTTTTGCTTTATATCTATTCCACCTAGGCCAAATTAAATTGGAGCTGCAATAATATGTCCTATCATCTCTACGCAGATTACATTCAGTTATACTGTTCTTTTAAAGTCTCTGAGCTTTATAATTTGTCTAGTTTAAGTAATTGCCTGACAGAAATCAAGCAATGGTTAAACGACAACTTCCTCCGGCTAAACTGTGATAAAACAAACTTTAATTATTGCTCCAAACAATATGATTTCAGAAATTAGGCAGCATATCAGCTTAGAGCCTTCTGCTAAATTGAGCCTTAGAAACCATGGTGCCATATTTGACAGCTCCATTTCCCTTGAGCAACATTCCAAACAGCGGGTCCAGAACCAGACTAATGGTGTCAAAGGCTGAACTTGAGATGATTATTCATGCTTTTTTTCCCCCCTTCCCATTTGGATTATTGCAGTGGTCTTTTTACTTGTTTTAAGAAATCAGCTTTAAATAGTCTTCAGACTGTGAAGAATGCTGCAGGAAGACTCTTAACAGGCACCAACAAAAGATCTCATATTACTCCAGTTTTAGCCTCCCTTCACTGATTGCCTGTAAGGTTTACATTTCTTTTAAAATTTTTATTTCTAACCTTTAGGGCCCTACATGTTCAAGCGCCCCAGTACATATTTGACCTGCTGAAACCACATTCCGGTTCCCGATCTCTAAGGTCATCAGGTCAGAGACTGCCGGTGGCCCCATGCACTCTATTTAAAACTCGTGGTGATCGGGCTTTTCAGGCAGTGGCACCACAGTTGTGGAATTCTCTTCCACTGTTTTTACCCTGTTACTCACTCCACTGATTCTTTTAAAAAGCAGTTGGAGACATTTTTATATAGACAAGCTTTCAATTAGTTTGTTGTGTTTATTGTTTTACATTGTTATATGTTGTATTTTCATGCTTTGTATTGTGGAGCAGCTTTGTGATTTTTATCTGGGAAAAGTGTTATATAAATACATTTTTACTTACTTACTTACAATTATTTGGGACGCTATCTGACAGATTGTGATGAATAACTTTGTCTTAGTAGTAATTTTCTGCTTCTGTGCTTATGCTATGAATTATAGACTTCATTACTTCAGAATATTTGATAAAGATATTAAAGGGGTGCAAAATAAAGTTCAGGTTTCAAATTTCAGGCTCATGTGCAGCTGCAGTCAACAGTAACTAGAAATACACCAACTGCGATCGAGTGTTATTACACGCAACACCTTTGTTGCTGCTCCCATTCCCCATGGGACGGACGTAGACCTAAAATTCATTCCAGATACACAATATAACCATCCCTCCCAAACAGTGGTCACAAACAGTCCAAATGTGTGGTAGTGGGCACATCTGCTATATTGAGATAATCCATCCCACCTCACAGGTGTGCCACATCAGGATGCTGATCTGACATGAGTAGTGCACAGGTGTACCTCAGACTGCCCACAACAAAAGGCCACCCTGGAATGTGCAGT